ACGTCGTTGAGAAGTGCCCGAAAAAGTGTACAAAGGGTTGAATCAAGCCTTACGATTGAAATGGTTAAATGAAACAGTTCGGAGGACGTCGTTGAGAAAGTGCCGAAAAAAAGGCTGAATCTAGCCCGATTGGAAATGAACCAGTTCGGAACGTCGTTGAGAAGCCTGCGATTGGAAATGGTTAAATGGAAACAGTTCGAGGACGTCGTTGAGAAGTGCCCGAAAAGTGTACCAAGGGTTGAATCAAGCCTACGATTGAAATGGTTAAAATGAAACAGTTCGGAGGACGTCGTTGAGAAGTGCCCGAAAAAGTGTACCAAGGGTTGAATCAAGCCTTACGATTGAAATGGTTTAAATGAAACAGTTCTGAGGACGTCGTTGAGAAGTGCCCGAAAAGTGTACCAAGGGTTGAATCGAAAGCCTTACGATTGGAAATGGTTAAATGAAACAGTTCGGAGGACGTCGTTGAGAAGTGCCAAGGAATCTGCTTCCTGATTGGGAAATGGTTAAATGAAACCAACGGTTGAATCGAAGCCTGTACGATTGAAATGGTTAAAATGAAACAGTTCGAGGACGTCGTTGAGAAGTGCCCGAAAGTGTACCAACGGTTGAAGAAATGTAAATGAAACAAGGGGCTGAATCAAGCCTTACGATGGAAATGGTTAAATGAAACAGTTCGAGGACGTCGTTGAGAAGTGCCCGAAAAGTGTACCAAGGGCTGAATCAAGCCTTACGATTGGAAATGGTTAAATGAAACAGTTCGGAGGACGTCGTTGAGAAGTGCCCGAAAAGTGTATCAAGGGCTGAATCGCTTACGATTGAAATGGTTAAATGAAACAGTTCGGAGGACGTCGTTGAGAAATGCCCGAAAAATCAAGGGCTGTACCAAGAAATGGTTGAAGTTCGAGGACGCCTTACGATTGGAAATGGTTGAATGAAACAGCCGGAGGACGTCGTTGAGAAGTGAAGGACGTCCGAAAAGTGTACCAAGGGTTGAATCAAGCTTTACGATTGAAATGGTTAAATGAAACAGTTCGGAGGACGTCGTTGAGAAGTGCCCGAAAAAAGTGTACCAAGGGTTGAATCAAGCCTTACGATTGGAAATGGTTAAATGGAAACAGTTCGGAGGACGTCGTTGAGAAGTGCCCGAAAAGTGTACCAAATGGTTGAATGGCGAATGAAAAGTTCGAGGACGTCGATTGGAAATGGTTAAATGAAACAGTTCCGAAGCCGTCATTGAGAAGTGCCCGTAAAGTGTACCAAGGGTTGAATCAAGCCTTACGATTGAAACTGGTTAAATGAAACAGTTCCGAAGCAGTCGTTGAGAAGTGCCCGAAAAGTGTACCAAGGGTTGAATCAAGCCTTACGATTGGAAATGGTTAAATGAAACAGTTCGGAGGACGTCGTTGAGAAGTGTCCGAAAAGTGTACCACGGGTTGAATCAAGCCTTAATATTGTAAATGGTTAAATGAAACAGTTCGGAGGACGTCGTTGAGAAGTGCACGAAAAGTGTACCAACGGTTGAATCAAGCCTTACGATTGGAACTGGTTAAATGAAACAGTTCGGAGGACGTCGTTTAGAAGTGCCCGAAAAGTGTACCAAGGGCTGAATCAAGCCTTACGATTGGAAATGGTTAAATGAAACAGTTCGGAGGAGGACGTCGTTGAGAAGTGCCCGGAAAGTCGTACCACGGGTTGAATCAAGCCTTACGATTGGAAATGGTTAAATGAAACAGTTCGGAGGACGTCGTTGAGAAATGCCCGAAAAATGTACGTCAAGGGCTGAATCAAGGGCTCACGATTGAAATGGTTAAATGAAACAGTTCGGAGGACGTCGTTGAGAAGTGCCCGAAAAGTGTACCAAGGGTTGAATCAAGCCTTACGATTGGAAATGGTTAAATGAAACAGTTCGGAGGACGTCGTTGAGAAGTGCCCGAAAAGTGTACCATGGGTTGAATCAAGCCTTACGATTGAAACTGGTTAAATGAAACAGTTCGGAGGACGTCGTTGAGAAGTGCCCGAAAAGTGTACCAAGGGTTGAATCAAGCCTTACGATTGAAACTGGTTAAATGAAACAGTTCCGAAGCCGTCGTTGAGAAGTGCCCGAAAAGTGTACCAAGGGTTGAATCAAGCCTTACGATTTGAAATGGTTAAATGAAACAGTTAGGAAGGACGTCGTTGAGAAGTGCCCGTTGAAAAGTGTACCATGGGCTGAATCAAGCCTTACGATTGGAAATGGTTAAATGAAACAGTTCGGAGGACGTCGTTGAAGTGCACGAAAAGTTGTATCAAGAGCTGAAACGATTGGAAATGGTTAAAGTTCGAAACAGTTCAAAAGTGTAGGCTGAACGTGGTTGAAATCAGGAGAGAAATATCAAGCCGGGTTTGATTGAATCAAGCCTTACGATTGGAAATGGTTGAAACAGTTCGAGGGACGTCGTTGAGAAGTGCCCGAAAAGTGAAAAACGATTGGAAATGGTTAAATCAAACAAGGACGGTTGGGAATCGAAAAGTGCCATGGGTTACGATTGGAAATGGTTAAATGAAACAGTTCGGAGGACGTCGTTGAGAAGTGCCCGAAAAGTGTACCAAGGGTTGAATCAAGCCTTACGATTGGAAATGGTTAAATGAAACAGTTCGGAGGACGTCGTTGAGAAGTGCCCGAAAAGTGTACCAAGGGCTGAATCAAGCCTTACGATTGGAAATGGTTTAAATGAAACGTTGAAGTTCGGAGGACGTCGTTGAAATGGTTAAAGTGCCCGAAAATGTACCAAGGGTTGAATGGCTTTACGATTGAAATGGTTAAATGAAACAGTTCGGAGGACGTCGTTGAGAAGTGCCCGAAAAGTGTACCAAGGGTTGAATCAAGCCTTTACGATTGAAATGGTTAAATGAAACAGTTCGGAGGACGTCGTTGACCAAGGTTGAATCGACGATTGGAAATGGTTAAATGAAACAGTGTACCAAGGGTTGAATGTCGAAAAAGTGTACCACAGTTGAATCAAGCCTTTAACGATTGAAATCGGAGGACGTCGTTAAATGAAACAGTTCATGGTTGAAGGACGTCGATTGAACTGGAAGTGAGGACGTCCGAAAAGTGTACCAAGGGTTGAATCAAGCCTTACGATTGGAAATGGTTAAATGAAACAGTTCGGAGGACGTCGTTGAGAAGTGCCCGAAAAGTGTACCAAGGGCTGAATCAAGCCTTACGATTGGAAATGGTTAAATGAAACAGTTCGGAGGACGTCGTTGAGAAGTGCCCGAAAAGTGTACCAAGGGTTGAATCAAGCCTTACGATTGGAAATGGTTAAATGAAACATTTCGGAGGACGTCGTTGAGAAGTGCCCGAAAAGTGTACCAAGGGTTGAATCAAGCCTTACGATTGGAAATGGTGAAAATGAAACAAGTTCGGAGGACGTCGTTAAAGAAGTACCCGAAAAGTGTACCAACGGTTGAATCAAGCCTCACGATTGGAAATGGTTAAATCAAACAGTTTGGAGGACGTCGTTGAGTTCGAAAAGTGTACCATGGTTGAATGAAGCCTTACGATTGAAATGGTTAAATGAAACAGTTCAAGGACGTCGTTGGGAAGTGCCGAAAAGTGTACCAAGGGCTGAATCAAGCCCTACGATTGGAAATGGTTAAATGAAACAGTTCGGAGGACGTCGTTGAGAAGTGCCCGAAAAGTTGTACCAAGGGCTGAATCAAGCCTACGATTGGAAATGGTTAAATGAAACAGTTTAGAGGACGTCGTTGAGAAGTGCCGAAAAAGCCGAATGTACCAATGGTTGAATCAAGCGTCGTTGGAGACGATTTGAAAATGGTTAAATCAAAACAGTCGGAGGACGTCGGAGGACGTCGGTTGAATCGCCTTACGATTGGAACTGGTTACGAAAACGGTTTCGGAGGAAAAGTGCCCGAAAATCAAGGGCTGAATGAAGCCTTACGATTGAAATGGTTAAAATGAAACAGTTCGGAGGACGTCGTTGAGAAGTGCACGAAAAGTGTATCAATGGCTGAATCAAGCCTTACGATTGGAAATGGTTAAATGAAACAGTTCGCAGGACGTCGTTGAGAAGTGCCCGAAAAGTGTACCAAAAGGGTTGAATCGCCTTACGATTGGAAATGGTTAAATGAAACAGTTCGGAGGACGTCGTTGAGAAGTGCAACGGTTGAATCGAAGCCTTACGATTTGAAATGGTCCCAGTTCACAGGACGGCGTTGGGAATGAAAAGTACCATGGGTTGAATGAAGATTGGAAATGGTTAAATGAAACTGTTCGGAGGACGTCGTTGAGAAGTGCCCGAAAAGTGTAAGGTGTACCTAGGGCTAAATGAAGTTCGGAGGACGCGTTGAGAACGATTGAGCTGAATCAAATTACGTTAAATGAAACAGTTCGGAGGATCGTTGGTAATTGCCTGAAAAGGATCGTCGATTGAAATGGTTAAAGAAACAGTTCGCAGGACGTCGTTGAGTGCCGAAAAGTGTACCAAGGGTTGAATCAAGCCTTACGATTGAAATGGTTAAATGAAACAGTTCGGAGGACGTCGTTGAGAAGTGCCCGAAAAGTGTACCAATGGTTGAATCAAGCTTTACGATTGGAAATGGTTAAATGAAACAGTTCGGAGGACGTCGTTGAGAAGTGCCCATGGGTTGAATGAAAATGGAAATGTACCATTCGGAGGGTTGAATCAAGCCAAGCCTTACGATTGGAAATGGTTAAATGAAACATTTCGGAGGACGTCGTTGAGAAGTGCCCGAAAGTGTATCATGCGGGCTGAATCAAACCTTACGATTGGAAATGGTTAAATGAAACAGTTCGGAGGACGTCGTTGAGAAGTGCACGAAAAGTGCGTCCCCAAGGGTTGAATCAAGCCTTACGATTGGAACTGGTTAAATGAAACTGTTCGGAGGACGTCAAGAAAAGTGTGAATGAATCAAGTTTTACGATTGGTTAAATCAAACAGTTCTGAGGACGTCTTTGAAATAAAACAGTTGAATCAAGCCTTGATTGGAAATGGAGGAGGACGTCGTTGAGAAGAAGTGGGTACGAAAAAAGTCAACATTTCGGAGGACGTCGTTGAATTGCCGAAAAAAGGGTTGAATGAAGCCTACGATTGAAATGGTTAAATGAAACAGTTCGGAGGACGTCGTTGAGAAGTGCCCGAAATGTTGTATCCATGGGGTTGAATCAAGCCTTAGGATTGAAATGGTTATGGGTGAAACAGTTCGTGGGACGTCGTTGAGAAGTGCACAAAAAAGTGTATCAACGGTTGAATCAAGCCTTACGATTGGAAATGGTTAAATCAAACTGTTCGGAGGACGTCGTTGAGAAGTGTACGAAAAGTGTACCATGGGTTGAATGAAGCCTTACGATTGGAAATGGTTAAATGAAACAATTCGGAGGACGTCGTTGAGAAGTGCCCGAAAAGTTAAATGAAACAGCAAGGTTGAATCAATCAAGCCTTACGATTTGAAATGGTTAAATCAAACAGTTCGGAGGACGTCGTTGGGAAGTGTACGAAAAAGTGTACCATGGGTTGAATGAAGCCTTACGATTGGAAATGGTTAAATGAAACAATTCGGAGGACGTCGTTGAGAAGTGCCCGAAAAGTGTACCAAGGGTTGAATCAAGCCTTACGATTGGAAATGGTTAAATGAAACAGTTCGGAGGACGTCGTTCCGAAAAGAGACCACGGTGAATAAAGCCTTAAAAGTAAATGGTGAAACCAACGTCGTTGAATCAAGCCAAGCCTTACGATTGAAATGGTTAAATGAAACAGTTTTGGAGGGGTCGTTGTTGAGAAGTGTCAACCCGAAAATGTGTTTAGGACGTCGTTGAATCAAGCCTCAAGCCTTACGATTGGAAATGGTTAAATGAAACAGTTCAGAAGTCGCCAATGTTTGGGCTAGAATGATGTCGGATATAATCGTGACTGAGTTGGTGAACGTACTGGCCTTGTTAAGAAAAACTGTTTGTCACTCCAGAGTATACCCTTTCTTCCAGACTCTGTAACCCGGCATAATTGCCGTATAAACCGAAAATTAGCTCTATGGCTGCTGAAGAAGTACAAATACGCATGAGACTTTTCTTCAATACGTACTCGGTGTGACGATAAACTATATCCTGCAGCAAGGCCTGTGATCGGGAGATTTTGAGGCGCGGTTATAGCTGGTGTGAAGCCGTTAGCATCGACCAACCATCCCACTTATGGAAAAATAAGTGTTATGGCCCGGTTCCTTGTACCACGGTGATAGTCCAAGGTAGAACCAATAAAAAAGAACTCGAAGACGGATATGGAATAACGCAGATATATTACAAACAGGAATATATACAGAGAGGTAGAAAGTGTTAGTACGAACAATCAGGTTTAGTAGTAATTGTCTGAACACGACTCTGTTTCGGACTGCCTCTGACTCGACTGACTGAATCGCTCTGACTCGACTGACAGACTCCTGACGGACTTCACTCCAGGCTTCAGACTGAACTCCAGACTTCAGACGGAAATCTAGACTTCAGACGGAACGGTATTTAGTCACCCCCCACCACGAGGGTATCATGTGGCACAAGGCCGGTTTAACGTAGGATCTCCGAGCCCGTGAGCTCGGCCAAAAATATGACCTTTGAACCCGTATAAACTGGTTCAGGGTCGGTTTAATTCCCCGAAAGAGACTCCGCTCTTCGGCGTAGCCTCGTTCGGGTTCCTCCCCGCCCGAAGGCAGAGAGTTCAACCGATCAGCCGGTCAGCCGGTCGCCCGACTTCAGGCTGAACTCCCTGCTTCCTCTTGAGGCGCAGTGTTTATTACGTATGGCATAGTCCATTATGTTATTATGGGTAAGGTCCCATAACAATAAAGAACCCCCAAACTGGGGTCAAAAATATTATGAAAGCGTAGAAATACATTTTTATAGTGAAGGTGCCAAAGTTACAAGTCATTGTCACCGAGGGTCCAAACGTACTAGCCTTGTTCAACGACTGATCATGCTAAGTAATGTGTTCTCCCGGTAATTAAATAACATCCTTTTAGTTTGGGTCTGTGAGTGTTGAGCTTACGGCCATATCACTTTGAAACCCGAAGTTAAGCAATGTTGAACCTGGTAAGTATCTAGATGGGTGACCGCTTGGGAATACCAGGTGATATAAGCTTTAATGTGCGGGTGGTGTAATGGATAATGGCTCCGAATTGTTAATCGAAGAGCCGAGTTCCAATTCCAGTTGGGTTCGTTATATTCACTTACCCGCAAATAACCTTGGGAAAGGTATGAATCCACCTCTTCACCCCAGCTATGGATTAATCAGTAAGACTTGTATTACTAAAATAAAATAAAATAAAATTGCGTACAAAATATTTATATTTCAGCATTAAATAACCCATAGAGATTTCGATATGCCGTTAAAGAAAAAAATCAATCTGTGAGTGTTAAAGAACAGGCCCCTGCAACCAGGGATGGCTACCCAATCTCTTAGGCATGCTCGGAATTAAGCAGCTAAACGTTTTTAATCGCTCATGAAAGAATTATTGATGCAAAGGTCTTATTTTTCTGCTATGTTTATTTTTTCCGTGGGTAATTCATTTGATAGAATCTACAGTTAACTTTTCAGTGATCAATAAACTTTGTAATGATTTGGTAACTGATGTCAACGCAATACCAAAATTTCCACCATCTTTTCTAAGTTTTAATTTCATTTCTTTCGTTGTCAAATGCCGGGGTCTCTGTCTACTGTTAAAATTGAATAAATTGTTTTGCGTTAATTTGTTTTTCACGGCGTCTTCAGTTACGAAACCGTCTGTCAACTGGATAATAACTTTCTAAATTGTAATTTATTTAATTCGAGTGAGAGGCCTGCATTTTGAAATGGAACAGATTCTTCAATTCCGAGAAAGGTTAATTTTCTCCATTTTATTTTTACTGCTTATTGAATTATGTTTAATCACAGATTTGTTCAGCGAAGGAATTGTTTTTTGTTTTTGTTTTTCAAAATGATTATCAGACATATTTTGAACATTTTAAAATCGAATTATGTTCATATCTTTCAGCTGATTCAAACAAAGAATATTGAAATTTTGACAAATTACTTTTGTTATTCTTCAATATCTTGTTTAAAAATAATTTTAAAAAAAAAACAACCTACTTTAAAAAGAATGCTTTTGAATAAATTTTTTTTTAAATCATTTTATGAGAAAAAAAATGATTTTTCATTTTCAAAAGTTTATTTGAAAATTTTCGTTTCAGAAAATGATTTACAATTGGTGTAAGAAAAATAGACCCGTATACATACATTAGGCAGCATATGATTTACATACAAAGAAATAATCACACATAGAATTAATCAGAAGTATTAATGCGATTATTGGCGACATCCATCGCTAGAAAACATAATATATGCATTAAAATCTTGTTCATCCATAGTGCGAGTTTTGATCCTCGTCGATAAACTTGTTGTCTGTAGTTTTTCAGTTTATTTGATGTTAAAATGCTAGTACTTACAGGTATATCGTCTCAAGTTTTTGATTTTATAAGGAAAAAAAACACATGCCTGATGATGAATAAAAGACTATTCGTAAGTACTAGCATTTTAACATCAAATAAACTGAAAAACTACAGACAACAAGTTTATCGACGAGGATCAAAACTCGCACTATGGATGAACAGGATTTCAATGCATATATATTATGTTTTTATGATGGATGTACTTCTGATTAATTCTAGGTGTGATTATTTCTTTTATATATATATATATATATATATATATATATGTGTGTGTGTGTGTGTGTGTGTGTGTGTATATATATATATATATTGTGTATATTTAGGCAGCAATTTTTCATTAATGCATGTTTCATTAAATAATACAGACAAGTTTTGTCTATTTATTTTAAGTAAGTTCCTTTCATATTGTCTGATAAGCTTAATAACATTATCATTGAAAGACGAAAGGAAATCACCATATTGATACATGTTTAAATCCGATCTAAGCTTTCGACTTACATAAGCCATTATCAAAGATGACAATTACATTTCAATATATCAACCAATACACGGACGAAACAATAATGATAGTTTGTTTTTGTTGCATGAAAAATTTCAAAACAACGACTAACTCGTGTATACGAGACGCGGGAGCGAAAATCGCGTCGCAGCTCGTGACGTCACACATGACCACACGGGACTGAAAACGAGAATATATATATATATAAGGTTAATGGTCAGAACCGATTCAACTGACCTGATTTTTAAAGTTATATATATATATATATTTATATATGTGTATGTGTGTGTGTGTGCGCGTGTGTGTGTGTGTGCACGCGTGCGCGTGTGTGTGTGTATGTATGTATACTTTTTAAAACGTTATTTTTTAGTGATGATGTGAAGACGATGAGACAAAGTGGAAATGTTTAATCAAAGATGCGTTTCGCCGGAGAAAAGCTGATGTTCTCTTTGGCGTCGTCAGTTCGACTAAAATAAAAAAGACAACAGACAGTCTTGGAGAGATGTCTCAGGATAGGATGGTTGCCGTAAATCACATTAATTACTCCAGCTTATCACTTCCTGACTAAAGATTTGAAGAGAACCCGCGTGTCTCTGTGTGTGTTTGTTATATCTATATCTGTGTTTATCTGTATCAGGAGCCGTTTGGTATTGTAGGATTTTAATTCGGGGACTTTTTATTATGTTTCGTATATACATATATACCTACATACACATACAACTATATATATATATAATTATGCGTATCCTGGCGATCCGCGTAGGTGAAACCTAGGTAGGTTTGCCTGGGTCGTTATGTTCATAATTAGATTTGCTCTACTTCGTGTATTGATCACTTTACTTTTACTCGTCTTGGATGTTTTCTGTTATGAGACCTTACCCATAATAACATAATGGACTATTCCATACGTAATAAATAATGCGCCTCAAGAGGAAGCAGGAAGTTCTGTTTGAAGTCTGAGAGAGTTCTGTCTGAAGTCTGGAGTTCAGTCTGAAGTCTGGAGTGAA